ACAGGTCAGGTTATCTTGACCGTGTCTACATGCCTAAATACATTGAGTTGCTGGAATGTGATTGGCCTATTAAATATTTTTCCTGACAAACGCTCAAACAGATGTACCCAAGGGAGTGGCCAGTGTGTGTGTGTTCTGATTAATTGTTCATATTAATGTTTTAGTTGGACTCACTTTCCACTCGTGCGCCCTGAGATCTCCTGACGTGTTGGCAGAAGGACCAAATTTGCAATAGCATAAATAAGATTAGGAGCAACATTCCTGCTGTCCTCCTTCCAGTAGTATAAACTGGAAATTTTGCATAGACTTGCATGTATCTTCTGGTTCCATGTAAGCAAACAAAAATGTTATCTGTTAAGTCCTCCCAGTCCTGTGATGCTTCTGATTGTAGATAGTTTTATTATTATCATCATAGTTATTTCTGAGCAGCTACCAGTAGAGTGCAGCACTGCACACTAAATCAGCTCTCTGCTAGATGCCAGTATGGTAATAGCCAAAAAACAATACATTTGCAGAGGGGAATTAAGAACAAACCATAACACTTGTTTGTATAAAGTTTGGAGACATCAAACATGAACAGTTTTATCTGCCAGCCTCTTTTAAAGGGAGTGTTTTCTGCTTTTCTTCGTTGCTGCCTCTGACTGCTTTTCACACTGGGACTCAAAGCATCTGACTGTAGGTTTTCACCCAGGTGTGGAAGTTGGAAAGCAAAGAGAGCGCATAAATATGTGCGAAATTCTTGCTGACAGTCCTGACACGATGCAACGCCTTCACTGACCTATAAATCTTGTTGCTTTACTTGGGTTTCAATCATCTTTTGCCCTGGAATTTGTTCACTATGTATATAGACACTGTGCTTTCCTTAAAGTTTCTATATGTATTCAAATGCATCACACATACATGCAGACAAAACTCATTGAATAAAAAAAAACATACTGTCTTCAAACTGTGAATGGCAAAACTTAAGTTGTAGTGGACAGCAGCATATGATTAATGCAGTACTCCCAAAGCTTTTGCTTTAATATCCTGTCTTTGCACAAACATTTCATTGGAGTCTATGTTACACACACACTTCAAATTCAAACTGAACTTTTTTCAAACTCACCATCTTCATACTTTGTATCTGACTGCTCTATCTGGTTCTGATAAAGTGTGCTGCAATAACGTGAATCTTCATATTTGAGTGGTACACCTGTCCTTCTGCAGGTTAATGCGTGTCTAATTGCTCAGTCACTCATCGCTTTTAAACAAGATTAAGACGACCTGCATGAGAATGGAGATGAAAGCTAGTTCAAGTGACTGAACGTGACATGGTTGTGGGTGTCAGAGGGGTTTTGTTTGACTATTTCAAAAACTGCTCATCTACTGGGATTTTCCCCCAAACAGCCATCTCTAGGGTCTACAGAGAATGGCCTAAAAAAGGGAAAATATCCAGTGAGCTGCAGTTCTGTGGGTGAAAATGCTTTGTTGATGTCAGAGGTCAGAGTAGACTGCTGCAGATAGGAATGAAATGAGAATTCCTTTATTTATCCCATATTTGGGAAATTCTTTTGTTACAGCAGTTGATATGATGATGAAATGATATTAGTAGGAAGGGAAGAGTAATTCAAATAACCACTCCTCACAACCAATGTCTGCAGAAGATCACGACCATGAAGCAGATGGGCTGAGCTCTACACAGGTGCCAGTCCTGTCAGCTAAGAAGAAGGAAGTGAGGCTACATTTTACACAGCCTCACCAAATTAGGATGACAGAAAATAAGAAAAAATGTTTCCTGGTCCAATGAGTCTGTTTCTGGAGCAACAGTTGGATGGTAGGGTCAGAATATGGTGTAAACAACATGAAAGCATGGCTCCATCCTACCTTGTATCAATAGTTCAGGCTGGTGCTGTGGTGTAATGGTGTGGGGATATTTTCTTGGCACATTTCGGGCCCCTTAGTACCAACTGAGCATCATTTAGACACAACAGCGCACTTGAGTAATGATGCTGATCATGTCCATCCTTTTATAAAGTACACTGTGGTCTACTACAGCAGGCTAATGCACCAGCCATGTCATGTCAAACTGGTTTCTTAAACATGACAATAGTTAACTGTACCTAGATGACCTCCACAGTCACTAGATGCAGATTCAGTAGAGCTTAATTGGGATATGAGAGTCACATAATGGAGGTGCAACCGACATCTGCAGCAACTGTGTGATGCTTCATTTCAACATGGAGCAAACCCTCTGAGGAACATTTGCAGCACTTTACTGAATCTGTGCCACGAAGAACTTACTTACAATTCTGAAGGCCAAGGGGATCCAACCCAATGGTAGCAATGTGTTCCTAAGTGTGCGGTAAGTATATACTGAGTCCAGACAAATCAGATTACACATCATTTTCATTGCAGTTTGATTTTCCAAAGTAGAAATAGCCACAGGTGGAACGAATTACATTAACAATGGCTTCATTCCAGTAAGAATTGTAAAGCAGCTGGAAGCTGGAAAGTCACAGTGACTGCAGATTTACTCAGTATTCCCCTCTGGCAAAACTAAAGGTAAGAGAAGTTTTATTTTAAACAAATAAGCAAACAAAAATCTCCTTATGAAACCACATCTAAAATACATGAAAACATAAGAGCTAAACTATGTGTGTCATACATTTAGCAGATGATGCCATCTCATGGTGCCTGTTATCTAAGCCTTAACATGATTTGACTGGATGACAATGGATAATGTTTTATTACATCCAAAAGAAATCCTTTTAGTAATATCCAGACTTCTTTGTACCATTTCTCATTAGATTCTTTGCAGTCAGCACAGTGACAGTAGCTTTATTTTGTTTGTCTTGTGTTTGATTTCTGTATTTTCCAACAGCACGTCAAACAACACTAAGTGCACTGAAACACTTTGCACATTCACAAGCAATCTGCTTTCTGCCTTCTCCATCAATCTGGTGACCTGTAGAGTCACACATTCCTATATACAGTAATTAGATACCGATAAATTATTACAGCCCATTATTATAGCTCTTGATTCTCAATGATAGTTTCTACACGTACAATATGTACACTGCAGATTTTCTTCTGATACTGTTATAGAACATTAGAGAATATTGCACAAATGATTTTTGAAGACTTCACACTGGTCCAGTAAACAGACAGTTTTATATGTATAGAAATGCAAAACATGAAAGCAGCAGCCAGTATAGATTCACACTGCAAAATGACATTCACTCCTGTTGTGTTCACTTTCCCACAGTCTACTAAGAGTTAACAAACCAAAACAGAACAATGAAAAAATGCTGTGGTGTTGTGGTCGGTTGTGCAATTGCACGAGTCGATTTCATCAAAGTTAAATATGATGTGAAAATTTTGAATGGACTCTTTGCTGGAGTCGATTCAATTACATTTAACTTTGTCATACACTTAACATAAACTAAATTGTAGACTTAATGGCTTTAACAATAATTTGCATGGGCACAAAGTAAAAAAACAGAATGAAGCATTAGTACATGAGTGGTGCTGGAAATACAATGAGCAAACTGTACGTGTGTGTACATGACTCTCTGGGAAGAAGTCTGCTGCCTTTGTCAAAAAAACTCCTAATGCACACTAATCTATGCAGCTTTGTGTATATAAATTAACATACGCCGCAACATACTTCTATTTTTGATTTGCAGCTCGCACAACAGCAGAGAAGCTTGGAGGATGAATTTCACAACTGGCTCATTTGATGAACAGCTGCAAACGGACGTGTCAGGGATAATGCAGCTGCTGCTCAGCGATGTGTTTTAGACAGTATCTCCCGTTAACATTTAAACACAGAGTTACGTATGCTACTACATAATATTGGTGTCAGCAGTCCCATCTCAGCATTATGTTATGTTAAAATAAAAGTCGCCGACTTTGAGGTCAATGCTGGTTGGTTTAGCTCAGCAGCAAAAAAAAAAAGAAAAAAGAAATTCACAGAGACAGTTTAATGATCCTATACTGTTAAATATATTTTACAAAGATTCACAAGTAGATGTTTTTTTTCTTTTTTCTTTTTGTTTCCAATACCTAACACCTGTGAGTATTAGAAAGGGCTCCAGTAATACATGTGCAGTACATTATAGAGTTAAATGATAAGGGTGGATAGAGCTTAGTAGATGGTGCTGCTCCAACATCCCTTCACAGTTTTATAAATATACAGATTTTTATTTTTTTTAAACACACTGATGCTTTGATGTATAGTTATATGGTTACTATAGCTGGATCAGTGGTAATTACAGCTGTCCAATTTACAATTATCAGCATCAAGTGAATTCTCTGCTGTTTTTATTTTTGATTGATAAGCTACTATCATTCAAACGGTCTCAATAATGCAAAAAGCCTTATCTTCAAATGTGATAATTAACAGCACATTAAGCCCTTTCTCACAGCTAATTCATCACAATCTGGCACTCGGTCAGAAACCTCTTTGTCAAATCCAAAAACGAAGGGTAACCCCTTTACAGTAAGAACTCCATGACTGATCTGCACTGTGAGGAACAATAAAGGCCTGCATTAGGAGGCAGGTGGATTAGTGAATTTTAAACTCACCCCTTGAGACAAGACATAAAAACCTGTCTGGAGCCACTTTTTCCCCTCGTGTTTGTTAGATTTGGGCAGTTAAGTTGCTCATTAATTTATATTTTAGGAAATAAATGTCATTTATGAAGGAAACATGACACTCACAGACTGCTGAACAGAGATGGGCAGTAACGCGTTACTTGTTGCATATAATTTAATTTTTGCTTGATGCATAAAGTTAAAAGATTAAAACTGATAAAACAAGTTTTAGAAAAAAGAGACTTTTCCATTTGATTACATTTTGTGTGATGGATTATGCAGAAAAAGTAGAATTGGGCTGAAAGATCTATCGCTTTATCACCTATTCAGGTTGTAAATTGTGTTTTTTAAAAGTAACTAAGTAACTAAGTAATTAATTACTTTTGAAAATAAGTAATCAGTAAAGTAACGGGATTACTTTTTTGGGTGAAGTAATCAGTAATTAGTTACCGATTACTTTTTTCAAGTAACTTGACCAACACTGCTCCTGAATATAATTAACTGGAAGCATTCTTAAATACTAAACACTGCCACCAAAGACTCACAAGAGAGGTCACAACCATTTCCATAACCTTGCAGGGGGGGAGGAAGCTTTATAAGGCTTATTTTGGGCCAAAATAAGGATGAAGTGGTTTTTACTGGATTTGGCTGCCCATTAACTCTGTAACACCAAGTGTATCGTATTTGATACAGGAGTTCTTGAGACGTCTAAATCATCAGTGTGCCTTTTTTCTTCACAAACGTAAATAAATTGCAGAAAAATGCGAGATTTAGTAAATATGATCCAAATAAAAACTGTGCAGACTTGAGTTCTTTAAGCACTTTGGTAAGGCTTAGGAGAAAAACCGGTTTGGGTTAAAATACATCATTTCACATTGACAAAGGCAAACATCTTCCATTTGCAACAAGCTTTTCTCGTTTTTCCTTGGTTGCCACGGTTGCATGTCAGTGAAGCCCTTTTTCGCATGGTCTCATAGTGTCTCATTTCCTGACTTAGGGAACTTCTATTGACCTGTATTGGACTGCGCTGTACATTGAACAATGATGCTAAATAATGTGTCCTGATTATTAATACATGACAAGTTGGAAATGAGAACAGGTCAACACATTTGTAAAGTCCACGAGTTTGATTAGTTACAAACAGTTCCAGTTATACCCTCACACCGCTGAGCTTGTTGAGTACACTTCCTGTTTAACAAACTGTCACTGTTAACACTAGGCTACAATTTGCTTCAGTTCTTTGTTAAATTTTCTGTCCTCAAGGCCACAGAACAAAGCATGTTAAGGTAGCACACACTAGGACAAATATTGGACATCAATCACATAAAAAAGGCCATGAGTTTTAATTAGGTTAAAGAAAAGAAAACAATACAGCAGACACTATTATTGTACCACATGTGCTCCAAATATACACTTAGTTAGTCCAAAAAATTGGCTTTGAAAGCGAGGGAGTGCTAGTCCCATGTAACACAATCGGTATTTTATCAGCCAATGGAGAAATCAGTATGATTTATAGTGTTGATCTCATCCCCGAGCTGAGTTTTAATCCTCTCTCCTTGTTGGTGCATGTGGTTGGAGGAAATCATTCAGACATTGGACATCCTCTGAAAGCCATTTCAACCAGTAAACCTGTTGAGCCTGACAATAAAGCCGATGTCCTTTCCACTTTGCGAACAAGTGTTTTGACACTTGACAGTAACACAGCAATCCAATTAGTTACCAAAGGTCACACGTCATCGTCGTCGTCATCATTCTGCCTCAACCTCCTCTCATGACTCTGACCTCTCTGGCTTCCTCTTTGAGGGAGACGACCAACTGGATCCTGACAGAGCAGGTACTGTTTCCAGATTTTCCGGAAAGCTGTGCGGAATTTCTTGATGCGGAAAGCATAAACGATGGGGTTTACAGCTGAGTTTCCGTGAGAGAGGATGATGGCGATGTATATGAATCCAACCTCATGGTATCCTGGGCAGAAGAGAGTAATGCAGTTCAGGATGTGCAGAGGGAGCCAGCTTACTGCAAAGAGAAACAGAACTAGGGCGAGGGACTTGGCCAGCTTAAGCTCCTTTCCAAAGTAGCGTCTCGGGTCAGTGTGGCTTGCTGTTACCTACGGCAAATTAAAGAACATGATATCAGTGTAAAAATGTAGTATTCACACAGTCTTTGATTTGCCCGGCACGAGAAGAAGATGGTCTCACCTTTTTGTTGAGCTGCTTGTGGATCATGTAGAAAATCTCAACATAGATGGCGAGCATTAGTAGCAAAGGGGGCAGCACCCAGCCAAAGAAATTGAAGTAGACCATGTAGTCCATACTGATGACGGTCTCAAACTTACAGACCACCAAGGTGTCATTTTTCAAGCTGCCATTTTTACGAAGTTGCTGCAGGTTATTCCATCCAAGCATCGGAGTGAGACCCACTATGATGGACACCAGCCAACACAATAAAACCGCTGTGCCGGCTCGCCGTGGGGTCACCACCCTCTTGTAGCTATGGCAACAAAAAAGAAGATGAAACTCCAAGTAAATAATCTGTGTGAAGTCAGGTAGATGACTGACTGTGGACTGTTTAAAATTATATAACAGTATCTGTACATAAGTTAATATCCTATTAAAACATCAAATAATATTATACTTTATTTATAGTTTTTTGCATTTAAAGAAAAAAGAAAGGTTTAAAAGAAAAACCAAAAGGCAAATCATTCCACAAACATTTAAAGCAGATACAAAAGTGTGCTATAGTTCTTTGTTTTGCTGGAAAGGTTTGTGTCCAGGTGTTGATGTGGATGCTACTTTGACATATACTGCACACCTAAACATTGCTGCAGTGACCAAGCACACCCCTAGCTGTGGTACTCCAACTAACGGTGGCCCGCTGCAACACAACAGTGAGCGCCGTCACACCCTGTCAATCTGCTCAGGAACATTAAAGCTCCCGTGCTGTTGGCTCGTCATAGAAACTTGCTGGATGCCAATCCAATTGAGCATTTGTGGAAAGCAATGGAAAAATCACAACCCATGGAAGGCTCCACCCAGCAGCTTGCTGAATGCAAAGAATCCACTGCCAAGGTCCGGGTGGCAGACAGCACAGGACACCACCAGAAGTCACACATCCATTACCCTACAGGTCACAACTGTTTAAGGGGACCTACACAACGGGTCGGGCAGGTGATTGTAAAGTCATGGCTGGGCACTCTGAAACTATATTTTACTCAAGAAAGTGCCTTCTACTGTGTTTTTCTCATACCATATGCTTATTTGATTCATATACAGTTATACTGTGTGCAGACTTGTGGGAATCATAGCATGAAACATATTTACCATACGTTATTCTCATGATTTTTAACATTTAACATGCTAACTGAGGCGTGTAGAGTCTGAGCAGTCCACCATCTGACCTCGTGATGAATTTGTTGGGACGTCCACTCCTGGGAGATGTGTTAACACACACCTGAATGCTTCAGACTAATGAACTGCCATAACGTCTGCTTTTTGTTAAGGTGCTCATACTGACTCATAATCAGTTAATCAAGTGCATTTGATTAGTCTGTCTGCTACGTACTCTATTAATTCCTATGGAAACAGCAAAGGTGTCTTTTGTTTTTCGCAGAGCTACATAAACCCCTGTGAAAACGTTCTTTTTCACATGACCTGATTTATTACTAGAGTGAAAGAAGAAATGATCATGTGTTCTTTTCCTCATGGCCTGTTCTAGCTCTTAAAGGGAGAAACCGGTGCTTATTCACTATGCATGGTCTAAATGACATTTATGTAAATTAGTGCCTATTAAATCAGGTATCTTATTTTGCACATTTTGACACAGAATTACATTTGTACTATACAAAAGATTGTCCCAATATACATGCCATATATTTGTGGCCATGGTAATAAGCATTAATTAAAAATGTGGGCTTTGTAAAATTTGTAAAATTGGCTATTTAATATACACTAACTGGACAAAAGCATGGGGCCACCTACACATTACATCCACTGGAGCTGCTTGGCTATGGAAACCAATGAGACGAAGCTCCCAGCGCACAGTTTTTGTGATGACTTTAATGCAAGAGGATGTTTGTAACTCTATGTGAGTTGCTGCACTTCCTTAATGTTTCTACTTTCCAATAATACAACTTACAGTTGATTGAGGAATATCTAGCAGGGAAGAAATTTCACAAACTGACTTGCTGCAACAGTGACCTCCTACTGCAAGATCACACTCAAACCGAGTGAGCTATTTGGAATGGCATTCTTTCACAATTGGTTTTAAAGGCAGACTGCGTGGAACACGTATACACCTGAAGCAATAGAAAGCGAAACATCTTGATTAAAAGATTATCAGGTGTTAAACTAAAACTTTGTAAACTAATTTGTAAACTAATGATAATACATTATGTGTAGAGAAAGTTAATAGAACATTAAGTCAACCAAATCAATCTGCAACAGCAAAACAGAAAACAGCAGTGGTCTGGTTTCTTGCAAAATAATTCAGCTCTTCTTTCTTTCTCTGGCATCGCATTTTGTTGTCCTGACAGAATTATAGCACTGGATTTTTTGTTCATTGTGCAGTTATCACTTCTTTACTTATCGCAGATCTCTGCGTGCCACTAAAGTGTTGCTCCAAGAAATCAGCTTTCTAGAAAAAAGATATACTGTGATATGTAAGCCAGAAACAGGTCCTGACAAGCTCCTGGTTTTCAGAAGAAGAAATTAGGAAGTTATTAAACTCAATACAATTCTTTGCTATCTTCCTGGGAAGTGATCAGTCCTGTTTCTGACAAGCAATGAGCTGCTGTTATAGGTTTGTGAACAACAACTGTTAAATTCCTGTAGCAGCCTACCTTTTTTCCTATTTCATTTCTAAGGAATAAAAGCTGACTCGCTTAGAGTAAATCATTGAGCACCTCATGTTAGTACTTCGCTCTTACCACAGCTGCGTTATGGCTAAAGTCACACTAAGGTTACGACAAACACACTGACAAACTCAGGTACGTGTGAGGACCAAACTATTATCATTCCTCTTTTTCCCCTTTTTGTCTTGTCCTCTCTCACACACGCGCGCGCACACACACACGCACAGAGCTGGATATAGTACACACACGCACACACACAGAGTAAGAGTTCAGCCAGGGTGCGGCAGACATAACACAGGATAAATGAACGAAATGAAGTTAAAAAAGACCGTGTCTGGAGTGGACCTTCCCACATGTGGCATCATGTGACATTTCTATCTTGATCTGTGCACTCATAAGTCTTTGTAAAGCTTTTTCTAAACCTTGGATGGTTGGCTGGCTGCATACAGATGAGCAGTCTGTCTGCCAAAAATTGATTTCTGGATTCTACTGTAGTCCAGTTATCTCGTCTTTTCTCTGGGATTTTGATCCTCATCTCCCACCTGGAAATTCTATCATCCGGCTAAGCCAAACAGTGACGCGTGAGGCAATATCAGACCGTCCTTATCGTGACCACGTGCTTCCAAACACTTCAGCTAAAAAAAGCAATCACTGCTTGTTAAACTGTGTCCCTCCAGAGTCCCAGGGGTATTTAAGGGAAGAGGACTCAGTTTCTGGCTCATATTACCAGCTCGCTACGAATCGGTAAAACACAAATTGCAGGTGCTAAGTATTTGAACTCTAAATTAGAGTCTGTTGCTAAAGCGCATACTCTGAATTGGAAGAAAAATGTATCTGCTCACAGTACTGTGCAAAAGTCTTGAGTCACCCTTCATTCCTAAATATGTTGCTAGGGAAATGGGAAATATGTACTGGGATTTATTGAAATGTGTGTAAACAAAAATATTGCATAAAGTGGGTCCTAAAATTCTAACAATTCAGTTTGGTGTGACCACCTTTATTCTTTAACACAGTCTGGACTCCCTTAAGGAAGCTTAGTCATTTCTTTAAGTAGTCTTCAGGAATAGGAAATAGCTCTTTAGCTTATTGTTGCAAAAACACTACTTTATGCCTGTCAGACTGTGTTATCTTTGGCACTTTACACAGATTCAACTAATTAAATTAAAGCCACAGCAGATGATGTGTTTTTACAACAGGCTGCTATTAATAAAATGTGCAATTTGAAATTCGTTCTTTTTGTCAATTGTCTGTTGTAGACACAACACTCTTAATTTGTTGAGTTAGTCCCCTTTTTATGCTTGAATGATTCACAGGTCAGTGCTGAGTGGCTTAAGAAACAAAAATACATTCCTGTGAAAACAGTCAGGTACAAGGAGTGGTCTGAAAATGAGTCTAAAAGCAAACAATTTCCAAAGAACATTTTTGAAAGATCTTCAGAAAGAACTATTGGCTCAAGGCCACATTAAAAAAATTAGAAGAAAGTCTGGACCCTGAAAGCAAAAGAGGGACAGCTCAAGATTTTTGCACAGTGTTCTAACACTGTAAGAAGCACTGCCTTTTTTGTCTGTGTTAAGTAGACCCAGTATCACTGTTTCTGCTGGAGGACATCCCAAAAATAAAAAGACCTTATGTTTGATTATTAGAGGTATGATTCATACTGATATGTTTAAAGGAAAAATAAAGATGGTGCTTATTAAACTTTACTTCATATAATAGAGACATTAATTTATACTGCTTTTGACTTGGGTAAATCATCTGCTGAATGCATCACATGGTAACTACACCTCAAGACTATGATGAACGGGACTGAAATCCCCAAGAGAACGCAATAAATAACAGTTTATTTATTACAAGACCTATAGCATTCATATAACAGATAACATATTTGAACTGTTGTCTGGCTAATGTCACTGTAACCTAAATTAATGCCCCTGCACTGACAGAGAGCAGTGTGTGTCTGCTGGTAGCCAACTTGACAAATTATGTAATCCATCAACCAACCACCATGAGCCTATTGACCAATCATGCATTCTCTGCCTCACTCTTACAGGCTTATTTTCAAACGAGCCAGCTTCAAGTGGACGAGAAAGACTTTTTCATTAAAGAGATATTAGGGTGAGACAAAAGGAGAAGTGCAAAGTGATAAGGCACTGAGTGCAAAACCTCAGCTTCTCCTCATGACAGAAGTTACCGTAACAGAAAGGCATATAAAGATGATTCTTAAAATTAAACAATATATATAATTAAGAAGACGAAAATAAAAGTCAACAAGCTTTTCTGTTTAGCACAGACTGAAAACATACATATTTATCTATCTATCAAGGCAAATGTGCTGCAAAATGTGAGAAAAATACGCATTACTTCGCCAATTTGCACCTTATTTTGTGCGCTGGAAAGGCACATCGGAGTTATGTTTAATAGTTAAATGAATGAAAGTGTTAATAAACACCGATAAGTCCGTTAGCTGTATTATTACAGCACCAATAATTACAAGTAGAGACATTACAGAGCTATTAAGGTAAAATTATCTCAGCGGCTAGACACACTTTTACCCCACGTATTACACGAATTTCTGGTGGGTGAAATGAAAATCCTGCATGAAACCGGCAGGAGCGTCTTTGGTTAGTGTCCTTGATCCCAGCAGCGATCCAGACACAAAGGCTTGTAGAAACGAGACAATATATTAAAAACTAGAGGAATTCACCTTTAGGCCTACCTCATGGGTATTTTGACTCTCAGATAGCGGTCGATGGCGATGGCCAGCAGCGCCAGGATTGAACTTTGTGTGAGCACGAGCACTGTGCAGGCGACCAGCAAACAGCTGTAGAAGTGTGTCTTGAGATCAATGCTGATGGTTATGGCGAGGGGGATGACAAGAGCTCCGACTGCAATGTCAGCCAAGGCCAGGGAGACGATGAAACAAAACGTGGTGTCTCTCAGAGACCGATTAATGCGCACAGCCCAGACCACCATTACGTTCCCGATGACCGAGGACAAGGCGATCACCACCTCCATCCCAATGTAGAGAGCCTTGTAAGCATCCACAGTCATGATCGCGGATACTGGATGAGTGTGCGCTCAGCGGAGAAAATTAAACCCGAACACGTAGAAGGACTTCCCTGTTTGAGTTTGTGGGGGTCGACTGAGACACCCCTTCTTATTTTTCGCATGTTTTATGTCCCACGGATGCGGAGGTAGTGCCTCTCCTTTTCAAATGTAGTCCGGGACATGTATCCACGCGCAACTTTGAAGATTCCGGGAATGGAGTGGCCCCCGCAGTCCGGCTGGCAGAGGGACAGGAAGGGTACTGAATGAGTCACATGCAGGTTCCCATAGAGCAGATTAGCTGTGCAGCTTTCCTCGGTGTAGGGCATGTGTCAAAGGTCGGAAAAATAAACAGGGAATCCTAAACAGAGCCACGCTTATTCCAGTCATTTAATTATTACGTCATTCCATCAGCACTTACTTGGTATAAACAAAAATGTCTATGTCTTTGGGGTACTTGTTCCATGTAAAAACAAAAACACGAAACAAAAGAATAATCTAAACGTATCCAGATTAACGTCAGATTAACAGTTTCCCTTCTCTTCTTTCTTTGCAATTATTTGTAAGCGAAAGCTTGCCCTCTGTGGGAGTGACACGCCAAGCTCTGAGGAGGAGGATATCAAACATGGATTCGTGACACGTGCATTTGTCATTTTTTTTCTTTTTACTATATCAAATATTAAAGCTCACTGCGTAAGAAGTGGTGGAAAAAACAAGCCCGCGACTCTTTGTTCATACTGAGGATGATTCACAGAAAGCAACAGATGATCAGCAGAGACATATCGGAGACATAAACAAGTTGCATGCCATTTTTGTACGCACACCGGAAAAGTGCACATCTTCGTGTGAAACGTACACGTGCCTATCAGTGGCATCGCTGTCACCACTCTGAGTCATTCACGAATCAGCAAAACCTCCGTGGCTATCACTCTGCATGAAACCTTCAGAGTTTAACCTGTGATCATGACATCACACTCTTAAAGCCGAATTTTGAAGACTATTAATTGTTTAAAAAGTTACATTTCATCATTCATCACGCTTCCAGAGGCTGTAAAATGTTAAAAAAATATTTTGTTGAAAGAGCAAGAACTTGACAGAAAAAGTGTTGAAAGAGCAAACGAGTTTGTTGTCAACCGTTTGTAAATCAAGCGCCTTTTTCCTCCTCAGTTATTGTGTCTCAATTTGTTGTCCAGCGATTTTTTCGTACTTGCAAAGTAGATATTTCATTTAACCCTTGTATGGTGTTCGGGTCTGTGAGACCCGTTTTCAGTTTTTTTCAAAAGAAAAATTAAACAATTAATTATTTTTTCAACCTGAAATTCATTGGCTTTGGCTTATTTTCTGTGAAGAACATAAATCCGAACTAATTTTCAATGACCTCATACTGTAGCTCCCCCCACTGGACCCAGGTCTAATAAAAGTGTTGAAAGTGTAGGTCCTGTGTTCCCACACTCTGTCTTCCTCCTTTCTGGTGCTGCTGATAGTGTTTGAAAATTCAACTATCAACACCGTCTGCTCTGACATTCCCGCACATTTTACCCTCTTTCTTGATCCAAATTTTATTTTCTCATACCCTGTCCCTCCTGCAAATTAGGGGCACAATACTATAAATAAGACTTTGCCAGTGTGGTTCTTTATCACAACTGATCAAGATGGCAAAAGATTATCTGCTGCGAGGGCCATCCAATTGATTTTGGAAGAGAGAGGAGCTTCGGATGATGATGTTGACAAAGAGATTTCAGAATATTTCACATTTCTGAAAATTCAGAGTCTGACAGTGACTTTGAAGAAGAGGATGAGGTTGAGCACCATTTAGTAACAAAACGAAGACGAGTACCCCATCTGCAGCCAGCTCCAGGACCAGAACAAGCCCACCAGACAGCAAGTGAAGAAATATGGATGTCAATAACTGGTGAAATTGAATGGTCTTCTTGCCCAAGAAATGAGCCACCCTGCAGAGCTGTTACTGTGATAAGCCAGGGCCAACACGGCTGACAGTTACTCATGTGCAGGACATCAAGTCTTCATTTGAGCTTTTCATCCCAGATTCCATCCAGAAAATTATTCTGGATTGCAGTAATCTAGAAGGAAGGTGTGTTTTTGGAGAGAGGTGGAAGGAGATGGACCAAATTCATCTAAGAACCCCAAAGGCCTACTTTGGGGTTCTTATCCTTGCAGGAGTTTTCAGGTCCAAAGGGGAATCCACAGAATCCCTGTGGGATGCAGAAACCGGCAAGAACCTTTCCGTGCATCAGTGTCTCTGGAAAACTTCCACAAAATTTCCAGGATTATCCGTTTTGATAACCGAGACGACAGACCAGCTCGACGGCAGAGAGACAAGCTAGCTGCCATCAGGACAGTGTGGGATAAGTGTGTGCACCACCTCCCCCTGTTTTACAACCCTGGGCCTAATGTCACCATTGATGAGCAGCTGATCCCATTTAGTTGTGAAACATATTGCTTCACGTGTAAATGTGTTGTGTCTTTCCACTCACTCCACTTGATTATAACTGATTTATTTTTTTTATAACATTTTATAAAAAAAAAAAAAAACGAGAAGCACATTAATTCATAAATGTGATCTAACAAAGGTAAAGGGAAAAAATTAACCATGTTTGCTGTTCATATGGCTTGTAATTGGGATGAAGTAAACATCTGTTGAGTAATTTAACATAAAATGTTTGATAGTGTTAATTTGGAAAGCCAAAACTCTAGCGGGTCCACCAGACCCATGAACACTGGCTGAGTAACAAAAATAGAACACACACAAGGATTAAGGTGATGGTGTGTGTGTGTGTGTGTGGGGGGTGTGTGTGTGTTGTGTGTGTGTGTGTGTGTGTGTGTTGTTCGTGTGTGTGTGGTAGTGTGGCTTTGTAGGACAAATCAGGTGTGTCTATCCGTGTGTGTGTGTGTGTGTGACTTATTGTCAGTGAACACAAATGGTTGATTGCAGTTCTTGCTGCAAATGATTGCCCCGCTAGTTTTAGTGGGCAATTACGTTTACACACAGGTAAGCTTGAATAACCTTTGTTCACCTTATAAATGAAATCATCATTTAAAAACTGCATTTTGTATTTAATCAGTTTATCTTTGTCGAGTATTTGCATCAGTCTGAGGATATAAAAAAACAGGTAAGTGTGACAAATATATGCTGCTTTAAAGAAAGGCACAATACTATTATATGTATGCTCATAGATATAATAGTTACCATGTGACTGATGCACAGTTATATTCAATTCAAATGTATTTATATAGCTCCTGCTCACAACAACAGTAGACTAAAGGTGCTTTATATTGTAAGGTAAAGAGACAACTCTAAACCTGAGCTAGGAATAGATTTGTGTCCCTATCTTAAGGGTGTAGAGGGGGAAAAAGTACATTTTCCAAATGATTTTGTTTATTCTGATGATAGAAGCACTTTGTACTTTTAAAAGGGAGCTGTGGCTCTTCTTGTTTTTGAGTCATCCTAAAGGATGTTTTTATGTGATCCGTATCAGTGATCTCCATCTCGGTAATAACCTTTGCAGTGGTGAGGTTTTCTATACTAAGAACACTACACACACAAAAATCATGATTCAAAGTTTGAATGTTGTCGTGCTAAGCCTTTCATCTCAGTGTAGCATAAACATTGAGTTTCTTCCCTCCTTTCACCATTCATCCTCCCTCACTTCGGTGAATCAAAGCGCACGTGTGTGTCTGTGTGTGTCTGCGTGTATCTGCGCACAACCAGACAGGCTGTGTGGTCTTACTTTACCTAACCAATATTTGCCAGACGTGAATTTTTTTCTTTCCTGGAACAACTTAATATTTATGATAAATGACCAGGGTGGTTATGTGATTCATAGTGTGCAACCAGAGAGAAATATGATGAATGCTCTTTTTGGAGCCTAGCATTTTCAGGAACAATTTTTATTTGATAGCACACAACCTTTAATTTTTATTAAAGAGTGCAGCTCTGCATGGGCTAATAAAAAGGATGGAACCTCTTTGGTTGATTTTATTGTCTTCTGGCTTTATAGCTTCAACACCTGGCTCCAAGTAATGAGCTAAACTGGCCTCACTAGACTTTGCCTAATAGTAAATTCAGTTTTATCTTTAGGATTATGATTATTTTAAATGAAAATCTGCTTCTGAAACTAAACTTCTCTCGTATCTTTTAGAGAAATGACCTCTTAAAGATCTGTTGAATGTTTGGCCAGCTTGCAGCGAGCTCTTTTGTGTCAAATCTGTGTGCTGGCTGTTGAAGCATGATAATTTAGGGAGAGAACGTGCAACTCCTCATCAACCCTCTCCAGTCCTAAATGGAGGGGATTGTTCACTTTACTGCTGGGATGAGCCTCATATTACAAGCACTTCATTTGCTGACCTCCGGGATGGAAAATCAAATGACCTGAGGGTAAAATGTACAAAATGCTGCATAATTTAAAGTGATATTCCCAATGCTCAACCAGTCTCTTCAAAACATGCCATAATAATTTATTTAGCAAAAAACATCTCAAGTAGGAAAGCACTAAGAAGGACTTTCTGTTTAGTTTTGGATCATTTAGTTCAGTTGGCTCTTAAATATACAAAAAGGCAAGTTAGCATCTTTTCAGCACAGAAGCCCTGCCTCATGTAGATTTCTGTCATGAAGGTCCATGAAGGTATGCTGATAGGTCCAGGCACGACGGGGGGACTATAGGGGATAATGCTAACAAATGGACAGGTGGCTCTCTGTGGAGTTTGCCTTAACACTTCCTTAGTTTTCACTCATACTGTATAAGTGTGTCTTATATCAAAAGTGTCTGTCAGCTAAGAGTATACTCCGAGTTAAAAATGACTCACTCTTAGCTTTAAGTGAAATGCCCAGTGACAAATCTGCCACTCAGATGGAATGAGGAAGCTGTTTTCAGGAGTTGCAACATTTTATATGGTGAGCAAGATAACAATTTCCTTCTTTCAAAACTTTATCACAACTGTCAGCCTTCAGCCCCGTCTTCCATCCCTCACATTTACATCATCATGAAACCATCAGATTTGTTCTGCCCTGTTTTTAGAGAGCGCGCAAAGTCATTGGCTTCCCTGTTTAAATCTGAAAAGCAGCTTTGTTCTGAGAATTGCAGCATGTAATCCAAAACGCTGATATAAATTTGAATGATTTGCAGACCTTATGTTTATATTTTATTCACAATAGGAAAAAGAAAACATATCAAATGTTTCAACTGAGATATCTTACTGTTTTATGAAAAAACATCAGCTCATTTTGAATTTGATGGAAGCAACGCATCTTTAAAAAGCTGGAACGGGACATGCGAGGCTGGAAAAGCAAGTGGTGAAGAGATGGATAAAGGCAATTTGAGAAACAGAAGAGAAGACAAAGACGGGGAATAAGAAAAACGTGAAGATTGACACTAAACATTTTAACAGAGACGGGAACACGGGAAGGCCTTTCTTAATTGTCCAATTTGTCCCTCCTACTTCCACACATGACCCGAGTACTAATCTTCTATGCCATATTGAAGGATGTCTCATTTCTTAAAATGCATTTGTAGGACAGAGGAGAGAGGAGTCTTGCCTGAGGAGCTATAATTGAGGATGAGTCTTTAATGAAACATGGGGGAAAAAAATGTCTCTGTGTGATTAAACATGAAGACGTAATATATCGTCACATTGCACCACTGTTGCAAATTTAAGTAAAAGATACCCAAAATATTAAACAAATGATAAAACTGACACTGCTTCAAAACTGTCTCACCTATTGCCTCGACTTCTCTGTCCACTGTCTCTTTCTTGCCTCGTCTGCTCACATCTTTGGCAAGAGGGACTAAAATGCAAGGAGAGG